GAAAAAAAAAAGGTTAAGAATGATTTTCTCGGAGCATAGTAAAAATGGCTTCAAAACATAGAGGCCCAATTAAGATCAGGGTGAGGGCATGGATGCTTCTTATTATGTGGTTGCTTTTTACACCACCCTCTTTTCTTTAATTGCAATTCTAAAATTACTTATATTATAACAGGATTTTTTTTTTTATTTCAAAATTTCAATTTCGGATAGTGGTTTGTAAAGTTGCTTAGATAAATTTAATTCCGAATCACTTCTTAAATAAATTTCCAATTTCCTACGTTTAAGAATTCATTTTTTTTAAAACAATATCTAAACTACTCCTAGAGTGAACTCTTAAAGTTGACCTACGAAATTTTAAGTTCAAACTTTCTTGCTATTATTGTAATATTTCCTACTCATTAAAAAACACTGCTAGAATTAAATTTCTGAAAGAGAATTTAAGGCGTTCTGAAATTAATTTTTCCAAAGTAGTTCATGAATCACTTTTGTGGTTGAACAGAGAAAAAAAAAATCAAAATACAGTTACAAGATAATAAAAAAAGTTGGTGGAAAAAGAAAAAAAAAAAAAAAAGATAAAGTTGTACTTATTAAGCTAACTAGAGTATTGGACCCTAGGGCCATTTCCCCAATGCCATTTTGAGTTTTGACCCATTCAAGTGTCTCATTCGCTATTGACCAAAAAAATAAAAGTCACATCAAAAGGTCATATCTAAACACGAGGGCATGATGATGAGAGGAAGATGACAGTAGAACAGCAACTGACATTCTAACGAAGGATAACAATTTGCATCCTTTCATAAGAGAAGCATTTGAGTTGTAAAGGCAACATGATATATACATGTCATTTTGAATGAAATTATGACAAGTGGTTCATTCTATGACCAATAATAGCCATGCATTCATTCAAATAATTCACACTCAATATCCATGTTGATTGTTGCCCTTGATTGGCACCATAATACGAGGGAAAAAAGAAAAAGAAAACCTTTATTCTTATGATAGATAATGGAATCAATAATTACAACATATCTATTCACACCAATGAAGTACTTTCGCAAATTACAAACTGATACTCATCATAAAGCTAATACTATTTTACAATGCCAAAAACGACAGTACTATGTTAATTCAAGAAGCAAGCATAGTAAAGAAACAAAAACAACCCTTTAAATTCATCATAAACATATGTAGTATAATTTTAACTAATAAGACAAACCAAACATGAATATTGAATACCCACCAATGCCTTCCAAGTAATTCACTGCATCATAAATGCAACAAGAGAAGCCAACACAGAAGAACATAAAGTCACGCTCGAAACAGACAAAGCAAATCCTGCTCCAGTCTCCAATTGCGATGTGGGTGCAATCTCTGATTCCTGTGCCACAGTGTTGGTCACGTAAAACAAGCCCATGACCATTACTGCCATCAAAAACTGAGCTCCATAGCCACCAAATGTTGCCATGTTTCCACAGAATATCTTATATATGTTACTGTGAAAACGTGACAAAAGAGAATTGGTTGCGATTTGTTTTGTTCAATGACACGGTCAAGAGTCGAATTTATATAGAACTTTGTTAAAAGGTCATCCTTAATTATCAAGTTGGTAAGTGGTGCAATATTAAACATTAACCATTCTCGATTACTATGCCTTTTAGATCAAGACTTTTGAGACCCCACTAGACTAATTAAAGTTAGTCGATGCAAGGTGGCATTGTGTCCTCAATGAGCTTCTTACGCTATAGTTCGAGCAAATTTATTGTACCTACCATTTATGATACACTTGAGATAATTGGTTTTTGGATTCTTAAACTCTTTCTGCAGAAGATTTCAGTTTTTGGACATATATGATGCCTGAAAATACGATTAAAGTATAAATTTTATTTACCTTGATTTGAATTAAATTATCTCGTAAATTGTTTTAAATCAATGAATCAATGATGTATATAATATCTTTATATTTTCATTTTACACATTGCTCAAGTTCAAAGAGCTAAATCCCAAATGTAAAAGGTAATATTTTCTTTAATTCATTGTAGGTGGTGGGAAATCATTTTCGGGCCAGCTGAAGTGCCCATGACATAGCAACGGTGCCAAGTCTTTTGAGAGAGAACAAACCTATGGTGCAAATATGCTGTCTTTGTTGCTTAATAAGGAGAATAATCTAGAATTCTAGCTTCCTTTGATTTTGGCAATTGAGGAGGATAGAATAGAATGATGGAAGATTTCATACCCATCAAGATGATTTTTTATTGACTCGGGTACTACACACGTAGCTATTTTAGAGATGTAACAAGAAATTAAAAAAAAAAAGGAACAGAACTAAATCTGATCGTTTTGAACGATTTGTGTTAGACATCAGAGTCCACGATAAATCCAATTAATAAATATAATCTGGTGACATGTAATTTCAACTGCTTATGTTGAATATAATTTGTTTTGCTAATTCATTAACCAAATAGAGTAATCAAACAGAGACATTATTTTGTTATGCAACAAATATGATGTCTGTCTAAATCCTCATGTTGTTATGTCGTCTGAGGTATATCTGGATTCAAATGTGGTAGAGATTGATTGAGTACTTTAAAAGGCATTTCATAATTCAAATCAATTGTGATTTTAATTGATTAACAACAAGTAATCAATTGTGATTTTAATTCAAATCAATTCTAAGGTGTTCTAGATGGTATGAATCATCTAGCACACGGCCAATGCAATGTTAGTTATTCTAATAAAATATTTCTAGGTTAGTTTAAATCGAGGTAGGTTCTCCTGTGTTATTATATACACTAAACAATCTTGTTCCTGAGCTGTGTAGTGTTTAGTCTGATCAACACTAAATAAGTTGACCCTCACTTGTTGGGCCCATGGGACTGTATGGTAGTTTGGGCCTAGTCTAGAACAAACCCACCCCATCCCAAGAGAAGCCAATTAGAAATTCTTTTAAGACGTGTTTGGATAACTTCTTTTCATAAATACTTCTAAAAGAAAGAAAAATAAAATATTTTAAAAAAAATTAAAATTAATTCATATATAATCTAATTTGTAGAAATTCTCATATTAACTTCTATAAATTTTGTTTTTGAACTTATGTATAAGATAAGAAGTTTATTTAATTTTTTTTATATTTTTTAGAAAAATTTATCAAATAAATTTTTAATCTCACAGCAATGTTTATAAAAAATATTAAATTAAAATTAAAAGAAAAACACTTAACAAAACCATCTAAGAGTGGGAGATTGAAGTAGTATACTCAAGGTTCTATATTTAAATTTTGTCGTTGTCATTATAATTCCTATAAATTAAAAAAAAAAAAAACAACTTAACAAAACCATAAAATAAAATGGTTATCTTTAACATATCATTCATTATTCTATCTAATGTCAATAATTTTAATTTTCATTAGAAGTTCGTACTAATTTGTTATATTAAATATGTTCCATTAATCACATCCTCGGATAACAAAATGATACAGGAATAAGAATGAGGATAAAAAAAATAAACATATTTAGCAACAGCTATTACAATCTCAGTTTGTGTCGGCATTTGAATGGATCTGGTTTAATTACAACTTGTCTTGAGCATAACGTTAACATGAGGTTGACAAACCTTTTGTGCCCAAAAAACAACACATGTACGACGAATATCAACCAAAACCTACGAAGCGAACCCTGAAACCATGCAAGACCATGCACTTACAACCGTTTTAGCAGCTAAAAAAGGTGCTGATTTCCCAAAATAACTAAAACTCCTTTCTTTTAAAGGCCATGCAAGAGCATCCGTTGTAACGCAGACCTGCAAGCTAAGGCAACAAAACAAAAGACACTTGTTTCATCAGCAAACCCGCGGGTCTCCAAAACAAGTCACATTTTACTCATCATGAACATGAAGAAGGTCACTTGCGCTCTTCTCATCGCCGCCGCCTCCGTGAGCGCCGCGGTGGCCGCTGCCGAGGTTCCTGCCCCGGCCCCTGGCCCTGCTGGCGCAAGCGGAGCCTCAGCTACCATGCCTCTTGTTGGCTCCTTGGTTGGTGCCTCTGTCTTGTCTTTCTTTGCCTTGTTCCAGTAAGCGTCACATGGCAAGGGACTGATTCAAGAAGATAGAAGACTTTATATATAAGTATACGGAATAAGGAGTGCTGCAAGGAATGATTAATCATCAAAGTTTATATGTATAAGTATTATGTATTGTTATAATCATTTTTGAATGAAATATTAATTTTTTATTATTTTATTTTATTTTATCTCTTTTTCTTTCTTGTCTACTGCTTTCCTTTCTTTTATATGCATCTTACGCACAGTTCAATAGCCTAAAAGATATATAGTCTAAGCTTAAGATTCAGAAGGAAACATGCAGGGAAACCTGCACAACAATTTCCAGTTACATGCATCAATCATCATCATGAACTAAAGATATCTTCACCCTATAATATAACCAATGATTTATAATTTTCCAATCACAGTTAAAACAATTTAAATATAAAAAAAAAATCAGAAAGGGAGGTTGTTTAATGTCATTAATGGAATAACAGTTACTTGAATGTTTTTAGTTTATTGAACAGTATTTTGTTCTGATGAATGATCTTTAATATCCGGAAGAAGATATAAAAGCTCATTTTGTCATTTTACATAATCAAAATGGTATGAGATCATTGAAACCGATTCTATGTTAATAACATCGCAATAATTTGTAAAATCAAACCATCCCTTTCTATACAATGCTATAGTTAACTACTAATTTTCAGTACGTTACTTGAAAATTAGTAGTTAGCGGATATAATTACAATGACAATGCAAAATCCGTCTATTTTTGTTACTTAAAAATAGACAATTTATAAAAAAAAATCTTTTTTACAAAAATAGTCCTATATCTCAATTTTTCAAATGGTTGTCTGAATTTCACTGTCCAAATGATTGAAAGAATAAGGAACGATTGCTGCATGATACCAGTTAACTGCAAATGACCAGAAACTAACGTTTATATGGTCATGAGGATATTTCTAACAAATAAACCATCAAGCTCCAAGTCAATGGTTATTTTTTAGTTCTGAAACGGGGAAGTGACAATTTACACAATCAATGGCCCGTAGACTGCTGGAAAACAAGGACAAACGAATATCCAACCTAACAAAAATAATTTAATTCATTTACTATGACCATTTACCACGACCAAGAAAGAACATGTGGCATGCTACCTTCCTGTCTCCAATCTTCAACCAAGCAACAACCTCGAAAAGAACAAACTCGTGACATTTCAAATACACATTTCTTACAATAATGTATAAATTTATGACCAGAAATTCTTATAACTAGGTTTCAGGATTAAATTTTTGGGCAGATATGAGGCTTTTTGCCAGCCATATTGCTGTTTCTCTTGATGAGACAGCTTCTTTCCCAAATGGTTTTAGCACCCCAGCAAGCTCTTCAAGTTTATCTTGCTTAAGTAGCTGAGCACATAACTCAAGTAGAGATTCTAGAGCATCAGCTCTTTGCTGGCAGGGACTATCCAACACAGACTTGGTTGTTTCATCATCACCTACATCAGTTATTACACTCAATGAAACACCACTAGGTGTCTGATCGACCTCCACTGCATTATCGTGTTCTTTATGTGTGGAGTGAATAATGTGTCTGTTTGTTGTGTCATTATCCTTAACTGGAAGTGCATCATTACTATCTGATGACAAGCAGTTCATATGTGAGCCTTCTGTAAATACATCAGAGTTTTCATTTTCCTTCAAGCATTTTCCAAGTTCAGTGTCGTGTTGATGCACAATTAGCGATGACCTTTCCTCATTAACGGACTTATCTTTATCAATGCTGCTACTGCCTTCACTGGACGTCGTTGATTTACTAGAGTCCTCAAGGTTAACATCTTCCCTCTGTGCTTCAGCATTATCCAAACCTTCATTGCAAGAAGCATCTTCAACTTCTGTGGTCACTGCATTTATGTTGTCTTCTAATTTATGAAAATGTTTAGCATCAATTCCTTGTTCTTCATGCAGAGAATCTTGTGTACTCTTTGAGGAGATCTCATTATTAACTGTTTCTCTTGCAGGTCTACTTTTGAAGTCCTCCTTGCACACACTGCAAATAGTTGATTCAGATGTTGTTGACCCATCTTTTGAGCCACTAATACTTGTAGAAGATTCTACTATGTAGCTGGTAAGATCAACCATCCTGGTCTCAAGACTGTCTTCTGCAGTGGTTGAGATTGTTACTGCATCATTAGGAAGATTGCTTATCTGTATATCTCCATTTCCCTCAATTGGATGAACCCGTTCCAAACGATTTACTAATCCTGCTTCTTTGTCCTTATGGTCCTTGCCACCGCTAGATTTATTAGATCTTCTTGTTTTATCCTTTGAATTTACTAAGGGATATACTGGAAGAAAATTAGATGATGCATTATGACAGCGAAGAACATAGGGTTGTAAAAGCGGATGCCTTAACAATTCAGCTGCCTGTCAACAAAGAGAAGCAGCATTAGAATCCATAATTCTATCCAAATTAATCACACAAGACAAGCTTAGTTGAACTCACGGTTGGCCTATGTTCTGGGTTTTTCCTAAGCATGCTCTTGATAAGTTGCTTCCTGTTACATGTCATCTTTCAGTTCTATCATCATTATAATGAAATATAAAATACGAGGAAAGAAAGGGGAGGAAATTATACAATTGCAAGTGTAAAATTTACTGGGAAATTTTGCTTGGCTTCAATATAGTTGTACTCACTTACGAAAAATACTTGAATCTTCAAAATCACAGGTTAAAAATATATCATGACAGTAGTGTGACTGGGAATGGTTTGAGGAAGTTACTTACAGTGTGGATGAATAAACAATTGGCAGTGGAGAAATGGAAGATCTGTTTATTTTATTGATAAGTCCAGCCATGTCCTGTTTTATTCATATACTTATGTGTTAAATTGTTTTACTAGAGTAAAATATATTGAAGAATAGTGACTACATTTCCATTAATAAAAATAAATTCCTGCAAGTGATTGAAGTTCTTACTGGAGCACGAAATGCTGGTTGATGTGCAGCAATCTCAAACATGCAGCAACCTTTACATATAAAGAGATATCATTCACAAAGTTAGATATCATATGGCTTTGTCAATCAGAAGAAGGTATCCATGAAACTTACCAAGAGACCACATATCAGATTTATAGCCATAAGGTATATCAGCGAGGAGCTCAGGACACATGTAATTTGGAGTTCCAACAACCTAGACAATATAAGAAGCATGCAAATAATAAACAGGTATCACCAAGTAAATCTAATAAAGAATCATGAACTTTACCCATAAAAAGCTAAAAGCAAGAAAAATATATCTATTCTATTGTCAGCTGAGAAGCATCAATTAGTCAGCATTACAGTCCATTAGCAGGGGATAACATACAAAGTATTAAATAAATGTTAACATAGCACACATGTATACAATACCGAGGAAGCAAGGTCTTCTGCATTGAGTCGCTTTGCAAGACCAAAGTCACCTGCATGGTTCATTCAATAAATATATTTCTTCAGAAAGCATAGATTATGAAACCCAAAAGTTTTGAGCTTTTAAGGAATAATTCTGCATACCAAGCCGAATGTTGTTGTCTTTGGTGAGGAATATGTTGGAACACTGAAATCACATGAAGTTGCATTAATGTAAAACATCACAAAGGATTTCTTGATCAGGATAAGTGAATACAATACCTTAAGATCTCTGTGGATTACACGATTAGAGTGCAAGTAGTCCACAGCTATCAGCAACTGAGTCAGCCATTTGCAGAGCTTCTGTGGGAGGAATTGGCGATCAAAGTGCATAAGGAATACTCATAAGGAATTATTAAGGAAGGGTAGATTAACCTTATTAATTATTATTTACCTCCTCAGGAAAAAATGACCCTCGAGCTTTCTTTATGTTCTCAGCCCTGCTCCACAAAGAATGCAGGGTTCCATGATTAGGACTTCATGCCACTGTTTATACATCTCCTATGTAGCATATAAATGCATGCATGTAGACTATCTTGTATAAAAATACAAGAACCACAGTATCCCAATTACTGATTAAGTGTATTTCATCTCAAAATTAGAACGTAAGAATACTAATGCCATGCAATGAACATGCAGATAGTCAGATATATCTGTGTATCAAACTTCTATATGGAAATGATACTACAGATATCACAAAATTCAACATAGGACTCCTTCCTGATCTCCATAAACTTGGGGCTTTTCTAACACCTTAACCTTTCAGGCCAAGAATCTTTTTCCATACATCAGAACCAGATTCATTCAATATTTGCCATCCCCAGTCTCTTATAATTAAAAATCCACAAAACAGTTTGATTATCCCATGGAAAAATTTCAGCACAATGCTCTGTTTAGTTTCAATCCAATATAGCAATTTGTGTAATGTCCACAATTCAAGTCCAATATGTCTTCCCCTAAAAGAACATGTTAGGGGTTATGAAAATCATTATTTTATCCTTATTTAAAAGCTCTCACTTTTGGGTTAACAATTTGAGTGTATATTGTTGATACTTCTTTTCTTTTCTCCTAAAGATTAATTGAGAAAACAATAAGCTCAGATCCTTAATTTATGCAAGGAAGAACCAACAGATATTACTAGACTTACATGTCACCTCCTTCACAATAGCCAGTTATAATGCATATATGGTCCTCCTACAAAACATGAAATATCATAAACATGCTTATGAATTATGATAAACATCAAAATAAGCTGATATATATATATATATAAATCTTCAGAGTTAATTTTTCATCTCAATATTTAAAAGAAAAATGTCCCTATACCTTCTCCACCCAAGCTTCTTTGTACTCCACAATATATGGGTTATTCAGTTTTGCAATCAGGTTCATCTGTAATAGAAAGAGGAACCGAGTCACTTCTGTGGGTAGACAGGAAACAATCATTCAAAATCAGCTTCACACAAATTCTTAGGACTGAAGTCCGTGAAATCATTATTAAGAATACTGTTTCTATCAACAGAAAACCAATATTAAGATGCACTTGTCTCAAAAACGAAAATGACATGCCATATGGTGTTCAAGGCATTTTGTGAGCATAATATTAATTCATAATACAAACATCCTCTTCTCTTGAAATTTGATCACCACTTTAGACAACAATAATGTGCAACATAGCAACTACCAGATTTCATCAAAAAAATTAATTCAATGCAGTTTACTTAAGTCATTGTCTATGTTTTGGAAGTGGGATACAATTTATTGATTCGAATAGATATTAAGGTGACTGATTTATTTGTAATAAGAAAGAAGCATGGCCTGTGATGGCATATTCCAAGATCATCATGGAAGAGAAACATAAAGATATTGAAAAGCACAAACAAATAGCTAAGTTGGGCTAATCCATGCAAAGAAAATAAATAATTGCATTGCATGATGGACACATAGGATTCCTCAGGTGGAAGGATTTGTTACACCAACCTCTTGGTGTGCTGTACGTTTGAACTTCTCTGTCTGCTTGGCCAACCGAATCTTCTTCAGCACATACCTACCGAGGATATGAAATTATGAGAATGAGTAACAATCGAAATTGACAAGGTAACTACACTGAATGAATTGGCTGGCTTTTCAACACCAACAATTAAACACCAACATCTCAAAACACAAAATAAATAAATAAATCAAACTTTCTTTCTCTAGTAGTCCATTATTTAACTGAAAAAATCAATATCCAACCTTCCATGTCCCACGGTTTAGCAGTTCACACAAAATAATTGAACCCGAAAAGCTAGCTAACTGCCATCAAACTTTACAGGCTTCAACTCCAACAATCAAGCACAAAAATCCAAAAAAAAAAAAAAAACTTGAATTTTTCCTCATGGGGTTGTCCGTTTTCTAACTGGAAAAACAAATGGATCTTCAATCGTTTATATTTTATTGCACAGTTTAAGCAGTCAAGGAAAACAAAAACGATTAACGTTGTCATTGACTTACCTCTTTTTCTCGGACTTGTGAAGGACGAGGAAGGCAGAGCCAAAAGCCCCTCTTCCAATTTGCTCAATCACTTCGTAATCTTCCATCTTTTTGGACCTCGTGTCACCGTTCTCTGTCTCCATGGAAACCTCCAGAAGCTAGAAGACAAAGGGTGAAGCAGTGAAGCAGTAGATCCTGATTTGCTATGAGCTTAGGAAAGAAAAAGAGAGAAAAAGGAAAGATTCTTTATGGCAAAATATGTGTGAGTGTGAATTCTACTACCAACCCTTTCTACCCTTGTTTTCTTTTTCATCCAAATGGTGTAATTGAAGACACCCGCTAGGCTGAAGGGCATTAATTGGGCAAAGTGTATCCTACGAGAATGAACTTTGGGGACTATTCAATGGGTTGCAGCAACCATCAATGGGCTTCACATGAAAGATGAGGAAAGCTACATTCCACAATTATGACACAAAACTACCTCCTCAGAAGACTGAACACGAGAGAGAGAGAGAGAGAGAGAAAGAGGAAAGGGTAGACTCAGGTAAAGTAGAATATATCACCACAAGAAAATTGAAAGGTTGATCACTTAACTTACCCAAAAGAGAGTGTAGAGATAGTGGAGGGAGGGCAACAAGGTCAAGTAAAGCCTATATACCACATGGTGTCACATTTATAAATACTTTTTTGTTTTATTTTAATTAAAATTTTAAGTAACCAGGATATCTAAATCTCCTAAACCCAAGTCTTTTAGTCCACTAATTCTAAAGTCTGATTTTAAATTATTCCTATTAGTATTCGTCAATTTTGAAACACTGTAGATTATGTCTATAAATAAAAGAAAGTAATCAAGACAAATTTAACAATTCAAAAATACTTACAGAAATAACACTTACTAATATTTACTTACCAAATCATACATCAGCGGCAAGATTCAAATTCAGTGGCGAAATTCAAATTCTCTTTTTTATAAAATGAATCTTATCTTTGTTGATTAGACTAATCCTCTATAGAAAATACTTTCTTTATGTTGGTGCAAATGTTGTAGTGGTGAGTCTATCATAGCTATAACCCCACCAAATGACTCAAAAGAAATGGGGTTGGGAGAAATGGCATGGAGGACAGAACTTAAAGTGGCAGGTATGGTGTGGAAAACTAAAGAAAAAGGAAAAGTCTTGCTTGCGTTTTCAGATTCATAGGAGATCATTCAAAACAAGGAATGTTCCTAGTTCGCAGTTGTGATGTCACACTCCGTGTACCTTAATAAACAAAATCATCAAAAATTGGACTTGAGCCAATAGGTATGTATGTATATGCTCCACAAAAAGTAAAAAAATAAATAGTTGCGTGGGTTTGTGCTAGTATAGTGCGCTGGCCAACCACCGCGGCTGGTCCAGAGGCATAATTATGGATTAATTTAACACCTCCAGCATTCTTAGAGGCGAAGAATTTTTATATGTTTGATGTAATGATATGAATCATATGATCAATTTTAAATTAGTGTAAATGGTGAGTGATAAACTTGTTAATTTACGCTAATAGGATAGGTCATCCATCAACAATTTGTTGAAATTATGTGACATAGTTGCACAAATTAGGTGTTAATCGGGTTTATTTGCCTGTAAGGAATGTAATAATCATTTCTAAGCGTGTGCTTAACAACTAAAAAGTAAAATTTCAACTATTAATTGGTGATCAAGATGTCAAATCAAAACCTAATTAGTTTGTTAAACCAACCCGTAAGAGAATGAGGTACAACGTCATTATTGTAGTAGAATTAGACGGGTTACAACTTACAACAGTTCATCACAAGAAAGTCAATACTAATTAGATCAACTGAAAAGAAAACTCCAAGGTTAACATTTTTTCTTGCCTAAATGAAGTTTATCAAATCTTCAAGGCCCAAAAATTTGGAGATAACGCGAGGACAAGTAATGCCGTTGACCTTCACCTGCATATGGCTATTTAGACAGAATTATAGAGTGGATAAAACTTAAATATAATTTCTTAAATAGTGTTTGATAACACTTTCGCCAACAATGGATCCATGTTAACTGAAGAGTAGCTTATGCGTTTTTTTTTTTTACTCAAATCTGGCATGAAAAGTACAGTGAGACTTGAGTTGGGACATAATGCAAGCATTTTTCATGTTATTCTTCTGTCATAATTAATTAATTAAAGTTTTACTTAGCAATTTCTATAGTTAAAGTTAACATTAAATGACGACCAGGTTGAAACACTAACTCTCATTAGAGAACAACGTTAAAAATACTTGAAGAAAATAAATATAAGGGAGTGTATTGGTTTAAGATTTCGTAAGATTTTAAAAGACTTTTTTTGAGTAAAAAAGTCCATTAGTATTCAATCAGAATTTTATGTTACTTAAAAACAATCCAGTGGTATTTAATCTGGATTTTCAAGATTTTTTAAAGAGTCTATTAAAATCTATTGGTATTCATTTAAGATTTTTTACAACTTAAAAACAATCTATTGGTATTCAAAAATATAAGGATTTTAAAGGATTGTTGTGTAAGAAGGATTTTGATGGATTTTCTAGTATTATCTATAAATACCAAATTCATGAAACAATCTCATCCAAACCCATCAGATTTTGAATGATTGTTTGAAGTGACTTTTCAAGAATTTTCAAGTGAGTTTTTCATCTTTTTTTTTCTATGCTCCTGTCTTCTCCATTTTTTCTCTGCTAAAAATATTGCACTATTGTTCATTGTTCATGTATAATATTGTAGTACTGTTCTCATCTCATTCCCCTATATTGTGAAATTATACAAACGCCTTCTTGCCTTCAGACTGTCCTTGTAACACTTTCGGGCGACCTCTTGATCTACTTTGAGGACCCCGACATCCCCATTCGGCAATGGATACTTCACCTTTAGATGTGATGTTGACACTATGGCTCCCAGTTTGTTCAGTGTAGGTCGGTCGATAAGTATATTGTAGGACGACTGAGCATTCACCACTAAATATCGGATAGTTACCGTTTTCATCTGCGAACCCTGTCTGAAGGTTGTTTCCAAATCGGTGTACCCTCTAGCCATAACCTGGTCTCCCGCAAAACCTACTAGGGTTCCCGTGTAGGGTACTAGTCGGTCATTGGGGATCTTCATTCCCACGAAAGCTTCCCAAAAGAGGATGTTGGCCGAGCTCCCCTGGTCGACCAGAACGCGCTTCACATTATAGCCCATTACTATCGTCGAAATGACGATGGGGTCATCCTCGTGAGGAGCTACCCCTTAGTAGTCGGCGT